AATAAATTTTCATTTTTTCAAATCCTTCTCACTTAATTTAGTATTTAAATTTAAAATCTTTAATTTAAAATCTCAAAATTTTAACTAATTGAATCACTTTTTTTAGGGCTTATGTGGTACTTTGTTTATATATAGACTATATTCATAGAGCTTTCAAAGTTGTTAGCCCATTTTTAAGAGAAAATATACTTTTTAAATTAAAGTGATAAAATATCAATAGTTAATAATCTAATTATTAAATATTGCCAGTCGAACCGACACGTATATTACTAGGACGCGGACACTCGATCTTGACCGTTGATTTCAGATCTTCAAGATCGAACAGTCAAACATCTCTCCCCTTTCCTCTATAAATAGGAGCCTTTCCTATTTACATCATAAAATCAGATCTTGGACGCAGAAAAATTTAGGGGAGAAAATTCGTCGAGATTGAATTAAATGATTTTTCCTTTTGTTTTTAATTTTCCAGTTTTGGATTGAAGAAGATTAACGGATCAATTCAATCGCGTGAATTTGGTTAACGATTTTTTGAATCAAAAGACTGACAATTAGGGTTTCTGATTGTGTGTTCTTTTTCTGAAGGGTTTTGTTTTGTGTTTGTTTTGATTTTGTGTTTTTGGATTAACAATGAACGATCAGTCACAGATGATGAGCCAGCAGGCAATTATGATCAATCAGGCGCCTCCGTCTCAGGTTATGGGTCAGGGTCAGGTTCAGGTTCAGGTGCAGCCCCAGTTGATGGGTCACTCTCAGGCGATAAATCCGGCGCCGATGGGTCAGTCGCAGCCTATGAGCAGTGCCCAGATGATGAATCAGCCTCCTTTGATGATGAATCGTGCCTACAAGGCTTGGCCGCAGGATGCTAACTCCAATCCTAACATGAAGTTCTCTTCTTTGAAGCCGAATTTCTCTAAGCCGAATAATAGGAGTAATAATTGGAAGGGGAAGAAAATTCCCAGTATGGAAAATAGGAGGATGGAGAAATTTGACATGCCTATGATGATGGCTGCTGGTGCTGGTGCTGGTGGTGTCGGTTCCGGCAGTACCCAGGGGTACATACCGCCGACGCTGAATGATTTGCAGTACCAGAATCGGTTGAAGGCGAGGAAATTCTACAACAAGAAAAAGTTCAACAACAACGGCCGGTTTGCTCCTTATGCGCCGCGTAACACAACATCGTTTATTATCCGGGCTAAAAAGTCTGGTGGGATCGCTTCCATGGTGTCACCTTGTCCTGTGACACCAGCAGTGCTGCCAACCCCCGTATTCTCTCCGTCAAGTGAGGTGTTGGGTGACATGGCAAAGGAAGAGTGGGGTGTTGATGGTTATGGATCAATGAAAGGGTTAATTAGGCTTCGATCACCTGGGAACAATGACCCAGAAGTTATCCATGATGAGGAGGATGAGGAAGAAGGAGGAAATGGTGGGGGATCGAGTGATAGTGATGTGGAGGAGCATGTGGAGGTGGAGAGGAGGTTGGACCATGATTTGAGTAGGTTTGAGATGATATATCCCAATTATGGAGGGGGTAATGACTACAATAATGTGTTGGAGAATAGAGTCGATGATCAGGATACTCACATTGCGCAGTTAGAGGAGGAGAATTTGACACTGAAGGAGAGGCTATTTCTTATGGAGAGGGAGCTAGCAGACTTGACGAGAAGGCTGCAGTTTCTGGAGAGGCAGACTCAGGTAGTTGGGGATGTAAATGAGGAGGTAGTTGAGAATGGCTCTGATAATGAGAATGAAAGTGACGGAGGTGGATCAGACATTAGAGTCACAGGAGTTGTTGATAATGAGGAAATTGAGTTTGTTGCAGCAAATGAGGAAGCACAAAGTTTTAGAAATGTTGACCTTGGTGTGAAAGCAGAAAAAAATTTTGACTTGATGCAGAATCAAGATACAAAAGATATCTGTATGAAGGAGATTGTACCGGAAGAACATAATGTGAAAGAGGATGAGAAGAAAAATGAAATGGGGAGGGATGAAGGAATGAAAGTTGAAGCAGTGAAGAGTGAGATCGGGCACGGGGAAATTGTTGTGGAAAAGGAAGATGGGACCAAGGGGGAAGGAACTTACAAGATGGTTAATGAGGAGGAGAAAGATGAGTCCAGGCATGAATCAGAGAACGTTAGGGGAGAAATGTAGTTCCTATAAAAGATGGTAAGGAGGGAGGAGGAGGAAGAGCCCATGGAGAATATCACTGGCAAATGGTGATGGAGACTAATCTAACTTTCCCGTGTTAGTGTAAGCCCCTTCTACTAGTAGTTAGTCATTCAGGAACCTTTTGATTGTGGTTGTTGATATGTGCAACGCATGGTTCTGTGTGGCGTACGTGGACTTGGTCACTTGGGTGTTTTGTTTACTTCTTTCTTGTATTTAGTCAGTCTGACATGGATCAATAGGATGAATAGGATTGTTGTCCTCCCTGATATTATATAACCAAGGTAGGAGGTAGATTTTTTCTTTTCTTTGTTTTCTGGGTTTTTTCTTTTTCATTTTTTTTTTCCCCTTGTTTTGGTAGTTTGGATGTGGGAAAGTATTTTGTTTGGCTGATAAGGGGGTTGGGTATGAGGGTTGTTTCTTTTCGGTACAGGTGCATACCTGTATGTTTGCATCTTCTTGGTTTTAAGTTTGTTAAGAACCTTTTAAAATTGCAAACCGTTATATTCGTATTTCTTTGTTTTAATTCGTAAAACCATCTTATCACAATTGTTAGCACTGTAATTTGAGTAATAAAACTGGATTTTTATGTTTTCTAATTCTTTTTGGGTAAAACTCACTATTATATGGTGTGATTAAATCAACTGTCAAAATCATTTTGTTATTCTCAACTGGTTTCAGAGGAGAGCTTTCTTGTTGTGAATAGAAACTCATAGCAACAACGAAGGAAGATCTTGATCAAGCTGGTACCTACTACTGAAATTGTAAAACTGAAGCAAATTGTTTGCGTATCACAGGAGCAGATCTTCATTTCTGATCCAGCTGGTGCAATCCCTTGGTTAACTATTATTCTCCTCTTGGTGCTTGCAACTTAAGAACAAGGTTGAAGTCCAGATTTATCCAGATTTTTTTGGTAATCATAGGAGATAGTATCTTTTATTAATAAAACCCACAAAACTAATGGAGTTTTTAGCATCGACACGGAGAGATACACAGATATAATTAAAGGTTATTGAGTCCTGAAATAGAGGCTAATTAAAGAAGAAAAATGAAAATCTAAAGCCAAAAAATGACCAGAGATTATCAGTTAACAGAAGTAAATTCATTCGAAGGTGTTTTGGTATTTTTGTAGCCCGAATTTCACTTTTATGTAGTCCGGACAAAAAATCAACATTCTGGTCCGTGATTCTCCGCGGCTGGCTTCGCTTGTCCCGTTTTGCCACGTGGACGTAGGTTATCTGTT